GGGCCACAAATCCAATAATATATTAATAAAATATTTTAAAGTATTTTAAAACTAAAACATAAAACAAAATTTAATAAAATAATATTAAAAGAATGAAAGACAAATTGAACTCCCCAAATCGCACAGATTTGTGTGTGAGAGAGAGAGAGAGAGAGAGAGAGAGAGAGAGAGAGAGAAAAAAAAAAAAATAAAAAAACATGAACGACCAACCAGAGAATTGAAGAAGAAAAAAAAAAACACGAAGTAATCACAAAAGCCAGCGCCACCCCCATCCTCTGAGCCCTGACACCCCACACCCATCCCCGCAGCACCTCCCTTCCGGCACCCTTCTCTTTCTCTCTGTCTTACATCTGGGTTGGGTGTGCTCTCTGTCTCAAACCCCGCTCCTCTCTCTCTTCCCTCGAAAAAGCACAGCCCCAGCCCCTCTCTTTCTCCTATCCGACACATCCCAACAGTGGATCTCCCCCTTCACCAGATCCATGGGTGATATGTATCTGAAATTTGAATTCGAGCCTTTTAATTTGAATAAAATTTCAAATTCTAGCTAATTGGTTTGATAATACTGGACATTTGTTTTGAAATTTGCATTTTGAATTGTCCATCTTGGCATCTTGAAAGGTGATTTTGCTGCCCTTTTTTCTTGTCTTTCTTTTTGGTAATATTTGCTGCCCAATTTTAATCTCTGTTGAAGTTGGGTAAGTTGAAAATGAAAGTGGCAACTCGAGCGACTCAACTCCTGGTAATCTGGGCGAGGTGGAGTTTGGTTGTGTTGGAGAGGACAGCGGCGATGGCGGCGGGTTTGTGCTGGATCGGAAGGCTGTCAGTCGGAGGAAGGTAGGATGGGGGTTGGTTGGGTGGGATCATGGGAGGTGGCTGGTGGTAGAACTAGCAGGTCATTTGTTTTTTTTTTCGTTTTTCAAAGTGTTAATATTTATTTTCCAAAAAAGTTTATTTTTCTTTTTAATATAATATTATACCTTTTATTTAAAGCCACATGGCTCAATTCTATTGGATGGGTGGTTTCATATCTGTGCCACGTCAATATTTTAACAGAAAACTTGACGAAAGCTAACAGAAGGACCATTTTGATGTGCATAGGATAACCTTCAGGACCATTAGTGTCACGAAAAAAGATTGAGGATGAAATGCGATAATTTCGCAAACTTTAGGACTATTGGTGATAAAAAGCCTTTTATAAATAATAATAATAATAATGCTGATTAAGCTTCATCTCATGGCCATGGTTAATCCATTCAATCTCAACGGTTAAAAAAAACACATCCAACAGCTAATATGTAAATTTGAGGGCTAAATATTTAATATCAATCAATCTAAATTAATTCCAAACCCAAAAGTCTATAAAATGTATGTTTGTGGCTATGTTATGAAATAAAATGTATAGTCTACAAGAAAACATTACACATAATATACTTAAAAGCGTGAAAATGAATCATTCCTTTGCCCTCAAGGCTCAGAATGAACAAAGTCTGAAATGAGAGGAAGAATGAAGGGATGAGGAAACTAGTAGGAGGATGGGAATTGATTGTATAAAAGGTTTAATCCAGTTAACCTATCTGTAAATGTCTCACAAACAATGCAATCCAAGCAGGTTATATTAGAACAGGAATATTTCCATAAGATCCAACTTTGTTAAGTAGATTTTAAATTTCAATCCACTTAACCCAACTGACCTGTCCAGTCAAATCATAGCTGCAATCAAGACTTGTAACTGACCTGGATGCAAGAGTTAACAAATTCATGGCAAGATATACATACAAACTACAGAAGATGTCACCAGCATATATAAACTAGGTCAGACTAATATAGATAGATATGAACTAAAGAAGATGTCACCGTTATCTCCTTTGCACTCCCAAACTCAGCAAGGAAATCACCTATATGAACTTGACATGCCAAGCCAGTTAAGGGAGCTAATACCCGAATGCTTGAGCTTTCAAGCATTTCTTGAATTTGTTGTGTAGTGTGACTTGCTCTTAGTTTCATTTAATCATCTGGTCCATATGGTTCGAGTGAAGATTTCCCTAACATTTGGATTTGCATACACCACACCGATATCCTGGAGAAATCACCGAATGAACAAACAAAAAAACACAACAGTACGGGTCAACTTTAGCCCGGTGAAAAGTTCAATCAATTCCAAACTTAAATCACTTTGTTACAAGATAGTCATTCATAGGTTGTGGACATGCCACCGGTAATTTCAACTTAAGACAGGCAAAAAAAAACACAACATAACAGTAACTGAATGTTGTCACACATCGAGAATGTTAGAGATGATGATAACTTCTGGTCACCAATGTTAAATTATCACAAATTCAAAATTTTCATTTCTCTGATATGCAGCAGTAGTTGACAGTGTTTAGTAGCAGCCCAAGACAATTTGTTTTGAAAACCATTTATCTTGCATGGTACACAAGAAGAATAATAAGTTCTAAAGGCCTTCATAGAGAGAATGCTTTCTGGCGATAAAGAATTCAATTATTTTTTCCATAACACAATGAACAAACACGCACAAGCAATTGGCTAGAGAATGCAGCATATCATTTATGCTCCCTCTTTATTGGATAAGTTATCAAAAACCATTGCTTTGACAGTGTACATATGTGACCTCCTTTTTATCAGTAATACAATTTTAACACACAATCAACCTACCCAAAACAGGAAAATTCTTTATTTTGCTATCAGTCATATTTCCTAGGTAGAACACTTGATTGCAAATGCTAAACCAGCCCCCTCAATATAAATCATGCTCACTACTGCACTTAAATTAGTTTCATCTCACCCCTTATTAGACATTCAATAGATTCCACTTCGTATTCATATCCAAGACTTCAAATTAAAGACCGAGTAACTTCGGCACAGTTAAGCAATGGCATATGCATATATTAAGGTCTATCATAAGACAACCAACACAATACAAATTTCGTTAACAAAGTAATTCATACAAAAACAGAGAAATTTAGAGCTGCAACTTACCACAAAAAACAAGGTTCTGATCCTCCCAGCTCCTCCCTTTAGCCCACAAGCACATGACCCTTCTTCTTCTGTTGTGCCATGTACTCCTGAAGTCGCTTAGCTTTCTCGACCATTTCCCCAATGACCTCCTCCGTCTCATCAATGATCTGCTTCGGCAGATGAACCTCCAAAAAATCAAACCACTGGCCAAGTGTCATCTTCTCCAAGTCACAACTCTCATTAACACCTGAACCACTACCACTTCCGTTGTCACCCTTAACACCACTACCACTTCCATTGTCACCCTTAACACCACTACTTCTTCCATTGTCACCCTTGCCGCCCCTCCCACTTCCATTCTCACCTTTATCACCACTCGCACTTCCATTGTCAACCTTATCACCACTCTCTCCTCTAACATTAAACTCTTTACCAGCCTCTTCATGTCTCTCTTCCTCAAAATTCAACCCTTTTGAAGCCTCATCGTCCTTCACATCAATTATTACAGAGTCTCCCAAATCTCTCTGCTCAGGAACATCAGGTTTATCACACACCGGTAGCTCCTCTGGTACATTCTTCCTCCTCCTCGCACCGCCACGTGTCCTTTTCGGCTCAATCTTCACCTCTCCACCATCTACACCAGAATTATCTGGAATCTTCCCCAATTCCTCATTCTTTGAGCTCCGAGTTCGCCTCGTACTCATTTCCGGAACCAAATTTTCCTCCACCGGCTTCTCATCTTCAACCACACTCTTCAAAACCCTAGCTTTGGGCGGTCGGCCCCTCCTTCGATTCCCTACGGCCTCAATCTCCTCAGCATTTTCTTTCTCCAACTCGCGCTTTGCTTCCCTCTGCTTCACAGCCCTACCTCTCTGGGCCCGACCCTGTGCAACCGACCCCACCGTAGTCTCCGCAACTACTGCGACTGCGGCACGCCTAGGGTTCCGTCTGAGCCGGCTCTCCTCGTAGCCGTCGATCTTCACGGTGATAGAGGTGTACTCGCCGATTTTGATTTCGTCGCCGTCGCTGAGGTCCAAGGGCGTGTTTGGGGTGACCTTGGTGTCGTTCAACAGGGTACCGTTTGAAGATTCGAGGTCTCGGAGCACCCATTTGCCTGATTCGGATTCGATTGTGAGGTGCTTGGAAGAAATGCCAGAGTCTTTGATCGGGAGGTTGTTTCCCCGGACGACGCGACCGATTCGGACCTTGGATCCGGGTCCGAAGTCTAGGGTTTCGCCCTCCCGCGGGCCTTGGACCATTATCAGCTTGAGAGCTAAAGGCTCCATTTTTTCAGAGAGGGAAGGAGGGAAAGTTTTTGCGTTTGAAATGCTTTTCAGAGTAAATAAACCGGTGTAGTTCGAGTTAGATTCCCCTATATTTTCATTTTTTTATTTCGTCCTTTTCTTTTTTAATTTACAATTTAGATCTATTATTTCAGACCTTAAAAAATATAAAACCTATATTTCATCAAAACAAAAAATCTAGAATGAAATAATAGCCTGACCCGATTCAGCCCATTAAAATTGGGTTCATTCGTGTTTGTGCCAGCCCAATTAGTATTTGTGTTGAACTTGCATGGGCCTACAGAATTCTAGAACGACGAACAATCCAAGTCCTACCGCCCTCAAAGGAAGATGCTGTAGAACTCAACCTCTGTTCTCGAAGTAGTCTTACTTTGATGGATGCTTTCTATATTGAACCAAGAAAGTATGAATCGGAAATATCAAGGATTAGGGAGATACAAATAAGTATGGAATCAACTACTTCCCTAATCAATCTTATTTCTGAATTTTTTAAATATTGGATTACAAATTTTAATGTACAAACTCATGTACTAATTGATTTCTTATGTGTTAATAATCGTATAAAATGTCAAAAATCGAAATAATTTCAAAGCCCGTAGTGAATACTCGTGCCATTAGTCGTACAATACCATAGATCTCATCTCATGTCAGAGATTCAAAAAGAAACAAAAAATTGTTTCATTTAAGTATTTACCATTAGATGATGGGAGGCCTAGTAGATTGAAACAGGATAACACGAACTTTTGATTGAGCGAAAAGTAAAGTTGGGTCAACGGGGTCTAGTCTAGTGGAGAAGGACCTTGACTTGCAGTCTCAAGTTCGAGCCCCCATGGCATCTTGGTATAATGTGTGTGAGAACGCCTTTGTAGTTTAGACTATTGCTTGTATTCAAAAAATGAAGTAGAAAGTTGAGCCTCTCGTCTTCAACTGTACATGCAGTGACAGGTTGGCTTGTAAAATGGCATTTTCAGTACGAGTAATAACAGTATCATAACAAAACTGATTTACAAGATTAAGAAAGCATCTCAACACGTGGTATATATGGAGACCACTGGAAGAAGCTAAAGCCAGGTAAAGGAAAGAGCCTTCAAAATGTCAGGCTTCTGCAATCAAAATTTGATCAATAATTTCTGATAGCTTTCCTGCTTCAGGGCTCTAGATCTCGAACAGGACGACAAAATCAATCTCCAACAAAGTACTGAATAAAATAGAAGGGGAAAAAAAAAAACATACTTAGGGCAAGGTATAATCATGCTAAATTTTATAACAATGCAGTGGAACAATATGGTTAAATGCAGCTTACTCATGAATATCCATAATCCACAGGTGTGCTAAAAAAAGTTGCTAGATTGAACAGAGATGAATTCTCCTGGCTATGTTATTGGTCCATTTTGCTCCTGCCTTCCTTGGCACCAGCCCAATATGAAAGCAGTTAAAAATTGTCATTATTGCTTCATCACAACCAGATGGCAAAAGGAGTGCAATTCATATCATAACAAAAGACTATAGCATCACACCATGAGCAATTTTTTTTTTTTATCAAGTACGTGATTATCTTTGAGAAAGCATATTTTCAGGACCAGCAAATGTTTCACAAGCCCTGGTTGCCTTTGTTTAGCAAAACCAGGGCAAACTGAAGCACAAATTTTAACTGTCGGCAAGTAAACTTTACCTAAACTCATTTTCCACGCATCAACACAATTGAAACAGTACTTCATAATGTCAATCACAAACTAATCTACTTCACCAAAAGAGTTGCCAATCTCAATCTGTTTCTGCCACTCCCAGAGTTTGAATTTGAAATTCACAAAGTCATACTTGTAAAAGACGGTATGTTCACTGGACATAGACCTTAAGTTTCTACTTGAGGAAAATTATACATAGAGTGTGGGTACAAGAGAAGTGTTCGTTTGTCAAGAAAGTTGTGCATAAAATTCATCCTTCCTTTCAATATGTGCTTCACAGTACACCCAGTTTTTCAACAAATAACAACTGAACCCCAAGGAAGAAGACGGCAAAAACAGATGAGTATGAGTTGGTAACAATCTAAATGCCATTCAGAATTTTTCATGTTATAGCTGTGTGCTGTGTACAAGGTAAACTTACTGTGCGTGAAAATGCTCAGTCATTTTGGTGTGGACGAGGGATGATGTCACAAAAACTTCCAAGTGGGGCGCATGGCACTTGTCAAAGGCATTCCAATCTCCAATACACCCTTCATCCATTTAACCCGATTTACAAGTTCCTCCAAGTCTAAAATTGCAGCTTCTAATGTGTCAGAGCTCATTGAATTTAAAACTATGCTTTGATCTGTTTTCAACTTCTTTAAGGACCCATTGTTGTCAACTCTGTCTTTCCCAGTTGTAGATCTCCCCATCCCCTTTGATGCATTTTTAATATGCGAACTTGAAACACTATCTGAGCAACTCGTCTTCCCAATCCCACTATCTGCCATGTCTGAATCAACATTTGTTTCTGGTGTGGGTGTCAACTTTGCTGTTATAGCACCTAACGGTTGCTTTGCCATTTCCTCTAATCCATCAAGAGGTTGCAATGAGCTAGCAGATACTTGAGAAGAAGGATGTGATGCTACAGCAATAGCCTGGACACCCTTTCTTCCATCACCTACAGAATGGGCCGTCAAGCTTGAAATGCCCCCTGCAACAACATCAATTGTGCTATTAATTGTAGTTCCTGTTTACAAATAATTTGAAAGGCAAGATTCAAGAGCAAGAAGCAAGTTGTTATGGTTACATTTGATTGCATTATGCACACTACAATAGAAGTGATATGAAACCTGGTGCCAGACAACTATACGCTCACCAAAAATTCCACCACAATATTCTTATAGCGCTTGATGTTCTGTTTTTCTTCTACTATTACTTTTTTTAAGCTCAACATAGACTTTTTCATTATTCATTTCAAACTCTTGAAACTTTTATCTGGTTTCACTTCTCCCATGTCAATCTTAACCAAGGAGGAGTTGAAACCAATATCTATATTACTTGTGTTAACTGGATAATTATACAAGAACTCATAATTTGCCTTTAACATCACACAAGCCTATACAGAGATATAAGGTGTAACTACAGTCGCCACATGCTTAAAACTGCTGTACTTTCACCAGGCCTGGAAAAGTAGTATGAGAAAAGCAACGCCAAAATGTGGGAAGACTAGTTTGGCTTAAAGCTTTAACTAGCCTCTGTACGGGATCCACCTATTTTAGTCTTGTATGTGCATGTAACTATCCATATGGTCCACCCAAAAAAAAATATTTAAAAAAGCCTCTACTTGTGCAATATGAAAGATAAAGTCAATAAACTATGGATGCTATTCAAAGTTTATATTAGCTAATGACCAGATCTTACTACATTCAAAGGCAAAGTATTAAACTCCTAATAAAAAGGTTAAAATCTCAATATTGTTGAGTGGCATTTGAAACTTGTTCAAGCAGCATTGACAATAACCAAAGCCCACAAGGCTGGAGAAGATGCATAAGTGTTGCAAATGCTTAAGTTTCCAGAAGGCACCACATCCCATTGAATTATAAAATTGGTTCCAGTTCTGCTATCTGATTTGATCTTTCTTTATCTTTGGTTGTTTAATAATTGACCAGGTTAGCAACTGGCCAACTCCACCAAAGATCAAATCACCACTCAGTCTTATGGACATTGTCATTTTAGAATAGTCGATGTTCCAATGCCTTGTCAGAACTCACATAGAAATTAAGTTCTTTAAAAAAGGTTTAAAACACAATGTACAAGTAATCACCTCTAATGGCTTCAATTTTATTTTATAACAGCCAGTTGTTGCAAGCCCTAGATTTTGGAGTCAGAAGGATAAAAACAACATAATAACATGAATAAGCTTGCATATATGTTGTTGAGCAGTGAGAAGTAAAATGTGCATCCGTACCTTGATTACCAGGCTTCATTACTCGAGCACAAGGACGTCCATTTTCACTCTCCTGCAACCAAAAAGGCATTCCAAATAATTTAGAAATAGAAGGATAAAATAATTGTTTTCCTTTTCTTAATTGAACATAAAGCATCAAAACCTACACGGCAGAAGAACCACCAAAACTGACAAGGCAGAAGTAGCTTTAATACTTCAATACCAAATTGAAGAAAGAATGTTAACATGGGTGACAAAATACATTATTGGTTAGCCAAGGATTGTGGCATCTTTTCATGAATCAGGAGCCCATGATGGCAAGTAAGAATTGCAGAAAAAAAATAAACAGAACATAAATAATTAAAAAGCTATGACGTATTGTTCCGACAAAAAACAAAAAATGAAAGATGTATTATTTTCAATAGGAGAATACTAGATGCAAGGTCAATGCCAGAAGTTCAACACCAAAGTGACAACGTGAGAGAGAAAGAGAGCTCTCAGTAAAAAGCAAAATAAAATAAAATATATATTGTAACTTCACAAATGATTTCATGCATGGCACTCATTAGTTGAGTGCCAATTTCCAGAAGTGCCGCATCATCATCATCATCATGTGATGGGCATGTGGACAACTGACAATTCAAGCTGATGGACAGGATTATTCAAAATAAACGCACATCTCATTTTTGAGGTAATATTTGATATTTCTGCTCAAACAAAGTTTTACATAACAAAGCATAAACGAAAAACAGGAGAAAAGATACAGATAAATGAATGGGCTGTAGGTACCATTGTGGGTACTGTCCAACCATTTTCTGGAGACCAATCCAAGGATGGGCGCAAGTCCTTGCAAGAAACTTCATAGGAACATCCTTCACCAACAGGAGGAGGCGGCAACTCAATCTGGAAAAAAAAAATAGAGAACACCAATTATTATATAGAAGCAAAGCATCTCTTTGACATCAAAGTAACTATAGTTCAACGAACAAGTGCAGCTAGTACTCTATTGCACTAGATAAACATAGCACATTCCCCCTGACCAGTAATGACATATGTGAATTGTGCGAAGAGCTCAAGAAAAATCATGTATAGCATGGTTTTGTAAGGAGTCAATGACTTCGGCTATGTTTAAACAATCTACAGTCAATCAGAGGTCAAACAATTGGTTTGTAAAAAATTGGAGTGAAAACAGCATAGAATCTGAAGGGGAAAAAAATTATGCTTAACACCTCAACAAATGCGCCAAGACACAAAATGATAATGAGTATCTAAAGTCAGCACTTAAAATAAGACAATATGAGAGGAACATAAGAATCACCTTAACTTTCTCATTCCCTAATACTTCTGTTACTCTTCCAGACCAATAACAACCATCCTTCCACCAATCAACTAAATCTCCCACTTTCCAGACATCATTGACAAGAACTACCACTTCCGCTATTGTATTGACATCAGGCATTGTACTTTCGTGATAGACAGGAGGAAAGTAAGGCCGCAACATCAATTGCAATTTTCTTGACTTTGTTGACTTTTTACTATAAGCACGGCTTGCTTGATATATTTTCGTCCAAGTTATTTCTGCAGATAAGGACAATTACAGAAAACAAAAAGGAAAAAGAAGAGCCATCACTCTCACAAAAATATTTATTTTACTTGATAACCAAAAATGAAGCCTTCATAGATATAAATAAAAACTAGGCAACTATTACTCTTTTCGTCTCACAGACCATATTGTTTGATAGTATATGCAATTCTTACATAATAAATTACTTTATGATCCTCAAAGTCAAAGTACAATTAATCATGTACATTAACATATACAATAAATATAGAACAAACTCAAACAAGCGTTTTAACCACCCCCCCTCTCTTTTCCTCAAAAAAAACCTCATTGAGGAAACATACCAACGGATATCACTTACTTTCACCCGGAAAGTCAAAATACTCCAAGGAGGTTGAAATCTGACCCATTCTCCAGGCAATCTCTATTATCTGGGTGACAATTAAAACATTTAGAGAGCATGATATCGTTATCTTGAAGACTTTTCTATACCAAATAATAAACAATGGAGAAACCATCTTCAATCAAATATATGGAAATAATCTCAAGCTGAAAAGTCTCATAAAATTACAAGTATGGACTATATGCACAAGCAGACAGACACCTTAAACCATAAATCATTGGAAGTTATTTCAGATGCCCAAATTTTTTAGCAAAAAATAGGAGAATTGATGGTAGTATTTGTAAAGCTTAAGCATGTATATGTTGAATCATTCAGGTTGGAAAAAGTAAATTATGCACACATATGGTTCTAAAGGCTTAGTCATAAATCTAAAAATCCCACCTAATATTGCAGGAAAATCTGTTCTTTATTAGTAAGTAAAGATTTTATGAAATATAACCAAGGAACAAAAAGAAAATACAAAAGCTACAAAAAAATCTTAAGGGAACAGGAGAATGCAACCACAAGAAATGTATTTTACTTCCAGAATTTATTTGATACGAAACAGCAATTTTGTTAAAAGAAATTTACAGAGCAAGATGGACCAGAAGTCCATCAAGAACACATCGGCAAGAAAACAACAACTCCCCAACCCCAACTATCCCTGATAATACTCAGTTCAAAATAGCAAAAACAATATGACTCTATCCGAGGGAAAACTCTACCTCCTCCCTAAAATCTTCTACCTAGCTTCCAAAATAGTATCTGCCTCTCAAATAAACTATAATTCCACTCTAACAGTTACCCACTCTGCTATACTTGCCTTCTTAACAAAAAGACATGCCATCCCACCAGCACCTATGGATCACTCAAGAGATCACACAGAGGGAGAGGGACGGGGGAGAGAGAGCCCAACAACTGTATGAACATGTATTACAACTCATATACTCATTTGCTTGAAACACATACAACATCAAAATTTTCCTTGTTTAATGAAATTTTTCAACATCAGAATCTTTTCTATGAGAAAGTCAATGCCTAAGCAAAGAATGAGGCCTTTGATTACCTAAATGGTCAACAACTTCTTGGTGTCTGATGTAAATAGAAAATAGCATAGTCCCTCCTACACAGTAGGTAGATGACTAATCATACTTCAAAGTTCAAACATTGTTCGAGCCTCGATTCTTAAGGAGAAATCTTGAAAATATCTGATATACTAAGACCTGAAAATACCAATACTGTTAGGATTTTGGCTCGTCAAATATGTCCTAGTTGGTTTTGTTTTAGGAAAATTAGAGGTATACCAATTCTTGTCCTAGAGGGATTAGGAAAGAATTTCAATTTTCCTTATTCAATTCAGGTTTGGATTTCTAGAAGTCTATTAGGATTTGGATAAGTGTAATTTCCTAATCTACTTAGGAATAGGAATTCAATCAGCCTTGGGACATGTAAGCCAACTCTATATCTATAAATAGGGTGTGGCAAGGCTTATTTTAAGGAGAGTAAAAACAGCCAGAGACAGCCAAGAGTTTTGAGATTAGTTCTAGGGTTGCAAAAGTTCTGTAATCTCTATTATTAAATCAAAGGAGCGGTGATTTCTCTACCTAGAGAAATCACAACTGGAAGTAGGCAAAAGTTCTGCCGAACCAGTATAATTCTTGTGTGTTTCTAAGTGTTTTAATATTTGCTAGTTTAGTCTATTGCCGTCGGTTACATCAAAGAACAAGATCTAGAAGGCGAGTTATTTAACAAATACTTCTATAAGACACTATGTCGCTATCAAAATATCTTAATAATAACTCTTCTTCTTCCCTGAACAGACTTTTAATGCTCCCACAAAACATCGATGACTATTTAACATTTGTAAATAATTTCTTAGTATTCCGGACCCATACTATTATTATTTTATAAGAAAACAAACAGGGTCTTTGACTTTCATTGGATGTCATAATATTTTTGCCCTCCTTCGATTACAGCCTTCAATTTGTTGGCAAGATTCACTAAATCGTGATTGAAAACCTCACAAAACTTTCAGTCCCCCTCAATATCAACCAAAGTAGTTGGTATAGAAACATTCACAGCATCCTCATTGCAAGATCAACAACATCTTGATACCAATTGATCATTGTAATTGACTGAAAATTTCAGTGTTAGGGTCATCATCTTCAAAAGATACTTTATGCAGTGAACAAATACATTCTTTACCGCCAACTTCATCATGCAAAACTTCAATGTTTAAACTTCAATCCTACCTGATGTTTTCTTGAGCCAAATCCAGAAGCTACTTATTCAGGTCCTATTAAATAATAATTAGGTTGGTTTCTAGGTCATACATGTGCTTCAATCTTCATTCCCAACCAACACAAGCTAAAGTCCAGCATGTTTCTTATGTAACTCCACCAGACTACTGGATTTATGCTCTTAATTTCCTGAATAACATTAGCCTTTATCCGCTTTATCCTATCGAATAACAAGAAGATCTACATTTCAGATTGATGCAGGAGCATCTATTAGACTTTCCTAATCTAAGTGGGCATCAGCCAATAAGGCTAAGTTTTAGTTATATTAAATTAATAGGTTATTTTATTACTTGTTTTCTTATTCTTACTAGGATTTGGTTTAATTTCCTGTTTAGGTTTTTAATTTCTACGTTAATTAGGTTTTCTATATTCTAGTATAAATAGGCTACTAAGAGACTCTTGTATTTAGTTTTTGTTGATGAACATAATTTCAGACTTGAGTCCATAGAGTTTCTATTAGGATTTTGCCCTAGAACTCAGTTATCTTCGTTCCAACTTAGATTCTACTGCTTTATCCTTCTATCCTCTGTTTGTTGGGTATGTTTGGGTCGCTGGACAGCAGCTTATAGCCGCTGCCCTGCATCACAGATTCAGCTAACATTAGCCTTTATCCTCAAACTTAATGATTTCCTTTTAGAGGGCTTGGTATTACCATTATTAAGTATTAATAAGATAAGTTCCCTTTATAGTTTAGTGGAAGAACTGACTATGATCAATTTATGCATCTTAGAGCAGGATTGAATTCGCTGGTTTCCTACTTGAGCTTTTTTGTCCTTCATAGTAGTTCCCCTCTCAACTAAACTACTACCAACTTCACCTTCTTTCTATCTGGAAGATAAAGGTATTCAAAATTCCTTCATCTTCAGTTAACCAACCCAAAACTTCCCCTAGTTGTTCTCCAATAAATTCTGGTATCTCCACCTTAAGTCACAAATCTTAATCACAATCAACATTCTGATTATAATTAGTGGTCAATGCAAAGGGAAAGTTTCATCTATTTCATTTGAAATCTCTGCCAACGGCTGCTATTGCTGAAATATTTCTAGAACGCATTGGTCACATCTGTTTGATGGTTTCTTTTCCTACCAACGGCATGATCTAGTCGATAAATAACTCCAAACCTAGATTTTTTAAATCTGAAATCAAAAAAAGCCTGATATACTAATAAAACAACCAATCCTTTGTTACAAAGCCATATTGTTCTATCAAAATGTGATCTTCAAGACTGCAGGTACTGTCTCTTTTACAATTTGATTACTAATGATTCTTCCTCCTCCCTAAACAGACTTTTAATGTTTCCTAAAACAAAGGATGACCTTTTCATATTCCTAAGTAACTTCTTAGCATTCGCACTCCCTAATATCCCTTTATAAGGAAACAAACGGACTCTGACAAATGTTATAAATGTTTTGTATCAGTATCAATAGTGAAAACAATGAGACCGATACAAGACGTTGGCAATTGTTAACCACAGTTTTAAGAGTGCAACAGTCAAGTTTAAAATACACTTAGGATGAAACAAAATTGATCATCAATGGATGAAGCTTGTAATCTTTATCATGATAGATACCTTACATCGGAACCATGCACCACGAAAACCTGGAATAAATGATCTTGATTCTACCTCTTGGCCAGCTATAAATGGTAGGTCATGCACGCCCATGATGATCCGTCAAAAGCAACATATAGCTGTGACATGAACATTTCTAAGTTGCATGCAAATTTGCTCAAGCTCATTACTTGCTTTAAATATATCAACAGTTAAGCAGAAATAGCAAATCACTCAGTCAAGAGCTAAACAACCATGTGGAGACTTGTTCTTGGATTAAAAGCTACATAGTATGGATGTATATGTAATGGTCACATATCCAATCAAATATGGAACTTGTTGGGTACTTCTCAATATGCTCCAAACACCTAATTGATAGTTACTCATGATCACCCTTTTTCTTTAGGCTTTGTCTATTTCACAAAACAGGGAAATTTTCCAAAATGCAAATTCAATGGAAACAAGAATTAACCAAACCTGGACAATTTGAATTCGTAATCAGCCAATGCAAAACGGAATCAAATTCCTCAAACGGAACAACAATGTGTGGGTACCGAAACTCTCTCCCTTTCTCTCACTTCAATTCATCTGGTGTCTCTTGGGGATTTGAATTCCGAATCTAGGGTTCTGTGATCTGTATATGTGTATAGATGAGTATGGAAATCGCGGTGGATGCGGCGTCGTTTGATGTCGAGTTGTTGCAACTTACGGAGGTGTCCCCTTTGGCCCTCAAATCGAATCCAAGCTACGTAGAGTCGCTGTTTAGGTAGTGGCTTTCGCTTGCCGGAGGAGGAGGGGAGGCGGGGAGCGTGCGGCTATGTTGGGTACAGGGAGAGGGGCTGGATTTTTTTTAATTTGTTATTTTCTCATTTTATTTCTTATTTTTAAATTTTTAAATTTCTTATTTTCTATTTTTAAAAAAGAAAATTACGATTTGACTCCTAATTTGGACGGAAGTTTGGATGGAAATCTAAAAAATTTACGACAAGTCCCAAATTGGCTATTTGTATATGGTTGAAGTCCTTAATTTAACAAAAAATAGATCATCAGTAAATTGACAATTTTGATTTAGTTCACAAAGCAAAACTGCATTTAAGTCTTGAAAATTAGTCACAATGTATTTAAATGAGGGGTTTGAGGCGGAATTTTGGGCTAAGATGGGACACCAAAGTTTTGCCTGGAGCTAGATGGCACTTAAAATCCAATATTGCTTAAGTGCTCCGTTTGGCACACTTATAATGAGATTTGTGAATTCATGGAGGGATTTTAGAGCTTGAGACCTCATCTTAAAATTTCACCTAAACAAATGTTATCTGAGACAGTTAGGTTTAAAGAAGAAAACCCCACAACTATCACCACAATTATTGCCACCTTTTGTTGGAATTTTAAAAATATTTTAAAATTTTAACCGTTTTTATTTATTTAATTATTTTGGCTGTTTTATTTTATTTATTGTGGGGTTGTACATATTTAATTTTCAGGTATTATTTCTATATTGAATGCCTTAATTTTATAGTTTAATGTGATGAAGGTTACATGTTTTTGAACGCTTATAAAATGCCACTCTTCCTTCACATTTGATACACCATTAGAATATCACATACCACAATCTGATTTTCTTATTTTCTACTTTTATATATATATTCTCTACTCTCTATTAGTATTTTTGGACAATGGTTATGTGACTTGGAAACATATCCGTCTGTGAACGTGCTCATAGCGGATCTTGAGTTTGTGTATTAAGGTCGTATCTTGAAGTCTTGTAGACCGTCAGTACCTGCATGTAGAGAGGTCATAAAGGCTTTAGGACAGTGTCTTTGACGTGCTTCACTGTGTCAAGCTCACCTTCTTACTTATGATTTATTTTGCTTTTACTTACCTATCAATTTGTTTTCTTTAGTTTCATTGTACCTTTGTATGTTATTTATAATATAAAGATTTTTGTATTTGGCTTTACGGAAAGAGGAAAAGTATATTTTTTATAACAATCTAAAGCCTTTGTATGTTAAAGTTGTTTTCTTCTCGTATTGCTAGCTTTAATACCTTTTAACTCTTTGATTGAAGCTTTTGCATTTGTATTGAATTTTCAAAATGAAAATTACGATTTGTTTTGGGTAGATGCAATTTAAAGCTTTCATGTTGTCTATACAATTTCAATTGCTTTAAATGTTTTAAATCTCATTATGATATTGTTGGTACATTTTATTGTCACTTATTGGGTCTGACCAATTTTGGTATCAATTTGATTTTGGTTTGACCAATTTTATATTTAATGGGTGTATTGATTTAGTTACTTAATATTTTGATAATATTATAGATATTTATGTTGCAAAAACGGGTAGAAAGGTTTATGAGATTTTTGCCATTGTTCTTGTTTTAAAATTAATTTTGAAGCAACCAACAACCATAAAAGCATTAGCTAGTTTAAGGCTGATACAACCATCAATTTTGGCTGATACAACTGTTTTGGAACCAACCTCAATTTATTGAGAATTAGATCTTTTTACATTTATGGAGAAATTTAATTTGACAATTCTATTGAGTGTTGTTATTTCCACCCACCTGTCCTATTTTCCCACCCACCTTATTTTTAACATTTTAAAGACAAATTTACCTATTTGTAAAATGACTTCTAAGGACAAAAACCTCAACCCATGACAAACTTTCTCCATCGACGACCATGGAGGGATATACCTAGATGTAGTGCCGACTCCCAATGCAACAACACCAACGCCTACTGCGCAGGTGACAGTGATCCTTAGAAAGGCTTGAAACATCTTTCTGTCACTCAGTAGGTGCCTGCCCAATTCAATATAAGAAGTAAAATACCTACCAATACCCTCACACACCACCAAAGAAAAATGAATAAAGAAGTAAATGAATCCGGTAAGTTAATTCACACCATATACACTGAACAGAAGAGGAAACATACAATACAATTCATATAATTGATAACAGTAAATTGAATGTGCATGGAAAAGCAAACCTGCATAAAGAATAAGAGGCCCATCGCAACCATATGCTCGCCAGACTGCACATGCTGAAATTCGACAAAGCGAAGTTGCAGAGCGAACAACATTATGAAAATATAAATGCAATTGTAGCCGACATACAACCTCATGGAATAGCGTCCGGTGATCAAAAACACCAAAACGTAAAGTAGAATCAAGCTAATTATAAAGACAACCTCCCCAACCAGAGACCATTCCAGCATGGGTTATGGGTTAATAATCTGATTTGATCACTTGATTTTTGCATTTTTTTTTTGTCTCTCTCAAATATATTAAAGTATTTAATTGATTCTTGTTAAACCCATGACTTTCATTGATTCTTGTTAAACCCACAAGTGACCCACGTCGGTGGCAGGAGGAGGATGGGGGTGGTAGGTCGTCGTCGATGGGGGAAGTTTGTGCTGGGTTTGGGTTTTTATTTTTATTTTTAATTTTAAAGTTTCAAGTTTTTTTGCTTGAATTAATAATTGAAGGGCATTTTAGGAATAATGGTGGGTGAAAAGATAGGATTGTGTTTTTGTAGTGAGTGAGAAAATAAGGTGGGTGAGAAAATAGGATAGGTGAGTGGCAATAGCAGCACTCATTCTATTTTGTTGTATTTATTACCCAGATTTTGTGTGGAAATCATTTTGTATATTTTGACTGCAACGATTTCAGTTTTGAGTAATTGGCTTTATAATTTCTTGTTACATCCCTAGATCGACTCTACCATAGCACGATATTGTCTGCTTTGAGCCCCCCTCTCTGCCCTCATGGTTTTGTTTCTGGGAACTCACGAACAACTTCCTAGTGAGTCACCCATCCTGGGATCGCTCCAGCCCCGAACTCGCTTAACTTTGGAGTTCCCATAATTTCGAAGCCAGTGAGCTCCCAAAAGGCCTCGTGCTAGATGGAGGCGGGCATATACATATAAGACACATCACCCCCTCTCCGTTGGTCGATGTGGAATGTTACAATCCACCCCCCTTAAGGGCCCGACGTTCTCCTCGGCACACTCGCACCAAACGGCAGAGTGGCTCTGATACCAAATTGTCACATCCCGAGATCGGCTCCGCCGTAGCACGATATTGTCCGCTTTGGGCCCCCCTCTCTGCCTTCACGGTTTTGTTTTTGGGAACTCACGAGCAACTTCCTAGTGGGTCACCCATCCTAGGATTGCTCTAGCCCCCAACTCGCTTAACTTCGGAGTTTCCATGACTCTGAAGCCAGTAAGCTCCCAAAAGGCTCATGCTAGATGGAGGCGGACATGTACACATAAGGCACATCACGCCCTTTCCGTTGGTCGATGTGGGATGTTACATTTCTACTGTAGAAGCTTTCCACTAGTATTTAAATGGGACAATTAATATAGTTTTTATTATTGATTTTAAACTGAAGGTTGAATCCAAAAGAATTAGTGCTACAATTCAATTTTGTCTAAAGCTTCATATTAATTGCTTCAATTGTTTTGATTTCATTTCACATTGTTGGGCACTACACATATTTGATTTCCAAACAATCTTAATTGCTGCTTTATGCAAACTTTGGTGTAATGCCATGAAATTTTGCACAAGTATTTTTCGTTGGTTATGCAAATAGGTAAACACTTGATTGCTACATCAAGTTAATTTCTCTAACGGTGGCTATGAAGATCAAGATAAGTAATCTCTACCTTCATCGCTCTAAATTGGCAATATAGTATATGACCAGTTAAATTCTATAGAATGCTTTATTTCTTTTTTTGGCTAAGAGATCGAAGAAGAAGATTGAGATTTGAGAACTTATAGACCAAGATAAAATATATATATATATATATATATATGTGGTGAGTTTTTGGTTGAGAGATCGAAGAAGAAGACTGAGCTTTGAGAACTTGCATACCAAGATCAGAAAAAATATGTGGTGGGTTTTTATCTGAGAGATAGAAGAAAAAGACTGAAGAGTTCAAGAAGATTATTTTTATGGAGGTAAGTGTGTGGTATGAGAGGAACTGAAAACTTCCCTAAACCTTATCAAAAAAAAAAAAATTCAAAATTTTAAAGACAAATTTACTCCTTTGTAAAATGACTTCTAAGGACATAAGAGAAAAAACCTTACCTCCCTCAAATTTGGTATATTTGGTTAACACCTATCCATTTACTTAATCCCAATTTAACACTGTTAACTTGAAAAAATATTAAAAATTAAAAATTAAAAACTAATCGAGAACCAAAAAGCCAACAACCACCACCATAGACCCAACAATCAAAGTGCCACACACAATGACGAATCCACCATGGGGTCAGATGACCCCATGGCAGATCTGGATTTTAGTGGTAGGGATTGGTTTTTGCCCTTGGCAACCATGGAAGTGACCCCATGGAGAAGAAGAAGCTTCGATGGCCAGCTGGGGTTCTTTTTTTTTTTTTTTCAAAAAAAAAAATTGCTTGGCAAAACGACGTCGTTTTGGGCTAGGACTTTTTTAAAAAATAATTTAAAAAAAAGGGGCTGCAACTTCTTAACAACATAGACTCGAAAATAGACCTCCAAAATCCCATTTTTCATATTTCTCCTCAACAACAACCCTAACCCCAATCTCCCCAAGACCTCCACCACCATCTCCTCCCTTGCCGTTTTTGAATGATAGCTTGTTGGTTTATATTGAGAGAAATGTTTTTACTTGTATTGAAAATAAATCTATAATGCTACGTTTTCAAAATATGAAACCTCGTCGTAGACAATTGTAACTTGTAATATTGTTTTTGACATTAATTATGAGTGAAAGTACTATTGTTTCATTCGTCCAAAAAAAGAAGAAGGTACTATCGTTTCATTTTCAATATTTTTTTTTCATCTTAAAAAATTATTGGGTAGTTTACATTATGACCCCATGAGTGGCAATTCCTGCATCCGTCACTGGCCACACACCTAACCCCAACAACAACCCGAACCACCTCACTGCACTGGCGGCAACCCTACCTCCATCTTTCACGTTCTGCTAGAAAACTA